TGTAGACTTAGCTATATTATTTTCTAAGGTTACCCTATGGATAACATTGAGAACAATGGGAATTCCAGAACACTACATTGTGCTTATGCTATCTGCAGGTGGATAAAAACAAAACAAAGTAGAAAAAGGGACTGTTTGGCTTAAAATCAGGGTTGTATCATTTCACATACTTGCTCAAGCTGTACAAGCAAGTAATCTGAGAGACTGGATTGCATGTAAAAGAACGTGGTGGGGACTACAATGATCGATGCATAATTCTTCCCTCCCCTCCCCAGGGGGTCAAACAACAGTAACGTGGGCGAAAGGAGACAGTGGGCAGTGTAAGATACGAAAATAATAATAATTCTTAATTTATCAAGGGGTCATGGGGATAGAAGCGGGGGAGGGAGAGAAAAAAGAGGAGCTGATACCAGGGGCTCAAATAGAATGTAAATATTTAGAATAATGATGGCACCATATGTACAAATATGCTTGATACAATTGATGTATGGAGTGTTATAAGGGCTGTAAGAACCCCCAATAAAATGATCTTTAAAAAAAAATTCACCTACCATGGTGCTTGAAATATAGCCAAACTAACCGAAATCCACTGCCAGGGAAACAATTCCAATGTATAGCAACCCTATGAGTTGCCATCAAGTCCAGTCCAACTCACAATGACCCTGTGGGGCAGGGTGTAAGTGTCCTGTGGGTTTCTGACATTAGCAGCCCAACCAGTAACAACTAAGCCCTGGGGGCTCTTCCTAATAAAACAAGTACCTGTTAGAACACTGGTTCTCAACCTTCCTAATGCTGTGAGCGACCCTTTAATACAGTTCCTCATGTTGTGGTGATCGCCAACAATAAAGTTATTTTCGTTGCTACTTCATAACTGTAATTTTGCTACTGTTATGAATCGTCATGTAAATATCTGATATGCAGGATGTATTTTCATTGTTACAAATTGAACATAATTAAAGCATAGTGATTAATCATAAAACAATATGTCATTATATATTGTGAAATATTTATTTCTAATTACAAATAAATGAAATTTTATCTTGAAGAATGGTGTAGCATGGTTAACAGTCTTCACGCAGGGTACTCCTATGGGGCGTATTGGCATGTGGGCGGACCCGCCTGGGATTGGATAGAGGAGCTGTGTCTCGGTTCCTAAGACCTTCGTAAATATGTGTTTTCCAATGGTCTTAGACGACCCCTGTGAAAGGGTCATTTGACCCCCAAAAGAGGTCGTGACCCCCAGGTTGAGAATCACTGTGTTAGAACAGTTGTCAAAAAGTCCCACTTTAATAGTGTTTTGGTTCCCCACAGTCTAAGTTATATCTGGTGCAGCCATAACATAAATATCACAAATAGATCTGGCTTTACCAAACAGAAATTTAATTTGCCAACTTAGGAAGCAAGAGACCCAAATTTTGCCCCTTCTCTCTGTCAGGGCTAGAGGAAGGGCCTCGTCTCTGCCGCTTGTTTCCTAGTTCACTGGAGCTTTCCGAGTGGCTCCATTACCATCTTCCCAGCCTCTGCTTCTGCTGAGTCTCTTTTTTGTCATCCAAAGGAGACGGACTCAAGATGCACCTCACACTACACATCTTTCATACCACACCAGACAAGGCATTCCCAAACAGGTGATAGCCACATGCGTACATGTCAGGATTTAAGGCTGGGCGGGTTGGGGCTGTGTGTTAAGGAGAGTCCTGCAAAAAGTAATGGAAACATGGAATTAAAAGATAGTGGAATTCTCCCAAAAATTTCTTGAAGTTCCCTTGTACAACATATTTTAGAAGGATACAATTTAATCAATAACATCTACTCTCTGTAACAAGTTTAGTTCAGGAGGTATCAACACTTGTTAGGCAAATGCACAACAGTTTCTGTTGTAGTCTTACTTACACAGGAATTTGTTACCTTATCCTATGGGTTTAGTATGTGTAGGTAGTTAATGTTAGTTGCTCTTAGGCAGATTTCAAGTCAAAGCAAACCCAGGTATTATAAAGAACTGCCCCATAGGATTTTATTTACTGTGGTATCTCTGGGTGGGTTCAAATCACCAACCTGTATGTTAGCAGTTGGGCACAAACTGTTTGGGCTACCTAACTAGATTATTTTTCTCATGCAACTATCAGGAGACATAACTTTTTCTGAATTCTGGGAAAGAAAAAGAGTAATAACTTTTGAGGGCATAAGTGAAATAAGCATTTGATTATCTGTTTAAGACTAAGTGGAAACTGTACTAGCAGGTTCATCCATTGTAGGCAGTTTTCATGGGCACTTTCAGATTAAGAGACTAAGAGAAAGGTCTGGCAATCTGTTTCCAAAATTAGCCAAAGAAAATATAATGGATAAAACAGTCTTATTCATTTGCTTTGGACACCTCAGGAAGGATCCATCAATGGAGGAGGCATCATTTTTGGTGAGAGGGCTAATGAGGGTGAGGTAGAGCCTTGGTGAGATGGGTAAGAGACACAAAGATGGGCTTAAGCAAGCCAGTAATTTTAAGGATGACACGGGGCAGGGAAATGTTTTCTATTGTACTTGAAGAAGCCCTGAGTTGAATTTGATTGATGGCCGATTCCATCTATGTTTAAGAAACTATATTAGCTCTTAGGGCTTTGTCACTTAAATACTCTTTCTAAACTGTAATTTCCTTATCTGTAAAGTAGGGCTAATAATAGCCTCTACCTACAAAACTCAATGTAAAGAAAACCATAATACTCATAAGTAGACCAATAGGTAGTAGCATGATAGAGAAAAGATTCTCTAGGATTTCTTCTTGCATGGATCCACAATCCATGCTCCTGGAACCAACAGTCAAGAGATCAAATAACATATTATATTGGGATTAAGGTGTATCAGACCCAAGCCATGGTATTTTCAATGGCCTGATATGCATGTGAAAACTGGACATTGATTAAGAAAGACTGAAGAAGAATCCATGTATTTGAATTATAGTTCTGACAAAGAATAATCAAAGTACCACCGACTGCCAAAAGAATACAAAGGTCTGTCTTGGAAGAGGGTGCGTTTTGGTGATATAGTGAGTTATACATTGGATTGCTAATGGCAAGATCAGCAGTTCAAATACCACTAGCTGCTCTTTGGGAGAATGATGAGGCATTCTAATCTCAGAATTACAGTCTTAGAAACCCGCAAGAGTAGTTCTACCCTGCCCTATAGGGTTGCTATGGGTCAGAATTGAACTTGATGGCAGTGAGTTTGGTTTGGTTGGTCTGGAAGAAAGATAACCATAATGCTCCTTGGAAGCATAAATGGTAAGACTTCATCTCATGAACTTTGGCTATATTATCAGGAAGACTCTCACTGAAATGGACTGACAGTGGCTGCAACAATGGGCTCAATTATAACAATTGTGCGGATGGTTTGGGACTATGGGTGTTCCTGCTATCCATATGGTCACTGAGTCAGAACCGACTCCATGACACTTAAAAACAACATTGCATTGGACAAATCATCTGGACAAAACCTCTTTGACAGATTGAAGGGCAGGAATATCACTTTGCAGACTAAGGTACACCTGACCCAAGCCACAGTACTTTCAATCACCTCATATGCCTTTGAAAGCTGGGAAGTGAATAAGAATGACCAAAGAATTGACGCATTTAAATTATGATGGTGGCAAAGAATAGTGAAAGTACCATGGACTGCCAGAAGAAAAAACAAACCTGTCTTGGAAAAAGTACAACCAGAATGTTCCTTAGAGGCAAGGATGTTGAGATTTCGCCTCATACTTTGGACATGTTATCAAGAGCGACCAGTTCTGGAAAAGGACATCATACTTGGTAAAGTACAAGGCAGTACAAAGGAGGAAGACCATTTGATAAGATGGAATGACACAGTGGCTGCAACAACAGACTCACCCACAATTATGGGGATGGCACAGGACCAGGCAGTGTTTCATTCTGTTGTACACAGGAATGCCATGAATCAGAACAAGTCTACAGCACTTAACAACCAGCATCTCCAAAAGGTCATTTTTAGAATTCAGTGAGAAAATGAGGGTGAACTGGTAAAACATGTAGATCTTATGATTTCTGGACATTTTTCACTTCCATGTCAATTACAACTCTATACAATTATTTGTCCCAACGTGTTTTGATCAAACGTGAAAACAAAGGAGGAACAAGTTACTGTCGAAGCGTCCAGGCAGGGGAAAGGGATATAAACAGAGGAAAAATTCACGTTAGACACCGTGAGATTGATTTGGTGACGGAAAGAAAGAAGGCAAACGTAGAAAACCGTTTCAGAGGTTTATTTCAGAGCTCCTGGGCGAAGTTCATGGACCCCTAAATCAGGGCCAGAGAAATCACAACGCCTTGGAGCAAAGGGAGAGGAGAGAAAGGGATGGGAGCATCCTGAGCTCCCAGGTGAGGTTCCCGGGCTCCCAGTCGGGACCCCACAAGTCACGCTGTCCAGGTGGCGAGTTTTACGGCCCGGGTCTGGTGGGGGGGTGTAGGTGGGGAATTTTCCACTGCAACTTTGTGGTCTGCAGGTCCGGGGCTAAGCAACAGTGTTCAAAGTTATCTGTAACGGTTAGTCTTCTGCACCTGGGCCTGAAGACCACCAGGGAAGGGGTGGGGGTGGCGTGTGTTTCTGGCCTCCCGGAGCGTCCTTGAAGTGCAGCTCTATCTCTTCGCCCGCTTGCCCCGTTAACTTAACTCCCGCTTCTGCCCAACACTAGACACCTTTCCCCAATTTCAGTACTTTGCAGTACTTTTTAAAAAAGCTTTCATAGAGCAGTAACTGTGTCTCACAACCCATAAAGCTTGTCAAATGCCTTGGCGAATCATCATGAGAGCGGACAAAGGCTAACGGAAGAGGGCGGTGGGAAGACCTAGTGGGTAGAGCCCGGGGAACTGTCCACGAGACAAAAGTTCCCACGCAGAAAGTAAGCGCCAAGCGTGAAGAGTCACCGAGGCACGTCACACCGACTCGGCTGGCTCACAGAGGTCCCAGAAAACAACCGTGCCGGACGAGATACCTACGGCATTTCGAGATTCAGGGGAGCGCGGCTGCCGCCGAGTCCAATAAACCGTACTCCCTCCTTGGGGTGGAGACGCGGCCGCGGGAAACCGCAGCCGGAAACGCGCGGGCTGGCGCGCGCAACGCCGCCTCACACCCGAAGCGGCCCGCCGGAAACATGCCCCGGGCCGCGAAGGGCCCGCGGGGGCTGATGGAGGAAGTCTGCCCGCAGGTGACAGCCAGACCCCGCTGGGCGCAGCACAAGAACCTCATCTTTACGATTCTGGCCACCAGCCTTCTCGGCCGCCGATGGAGGAACACTGGAGACGTCTCTGTACGCTCTCGTTGGACGGACCCTGCCCAGATTTCTAGCCGGACCTTTGGGGCGTGTGCTCTGCATTCTACTTCCGGTAGTGGACCGGTTCCGTTGCCATGGTAATTAGAGCCAGGCCGGAATCGTTCCCCCGGCGGTGAGAGGTGCGAAACGTCGCTGCAGAGACTTGGCTGCGTTTGCTGGTTGGCGAGCTGGAAGTAGGTAGCAAACAGCTCGCTATCTCCATCTCTTCACCCCCCTCCGCCCCTCACTGTTGTGCTTTCTCTTCTCTCACCTGCTCTTTTTACTTCTCACACTAACAACTGGGGTGCGTGTGTGTGTGTGTGTGTACGTACCAAGAGTGTCCATATAAATGCAGTTTTGTGCCCAGAGGAAGACAACAATAGCTACTGCCCGAGATTCGCCGTGAACGTATTTCTGTATAGAGACGATGCCTGGGTGGCTTTCTGTTTGCACTTTGCCATGACTGAAGCCTCGGGCGCTTGAGAACCGTTTATTTTGCTTGCTATTGTGTGACTGGTTATTTATGGAGCCGTTTGCTGCAATGTGCTCTCTAGGCCCCTGTGTGGGTCTCGGGCTGGAGTTTTAAATGAAGGAGGTTTTCAAGCCAGTGGGGCGCAATGATACATTTATTTAAGCTGTAGTTTAGTCTCTTGTTAGAGAAAAAGGAAAGTGTAGAATTTTGGAACCTGGCTGTCGCTGGGTTTCCACGTGAAGGAGTGACTTTATTTTGAACGCGTATACCAGGACGATGCTAAAAGATACTTGGATTTTATCATTGCTTGCTGTCCATTCCTTTGCCATTCTTAGGGGAACGGTGTTTGCACATTTGTGGGATGTGTGCGCTCATATGTGTTTAAAACACTGATGCTTAATTATCGTGATACCAATTTGCAGTAACCAGACTGTGACACCACCTCCCTATGGGGTCCTTCTAAATCTGGTGTAATATGGAAGTGTCAGGCAGGCGGTCTGCGTATTACAAATAGGGTACTTCATCCATGATAAGCGATTATTATCTTTCTTTCCCAAGTGTAAAAGACCTATATAATTCAAGAAGGTGCAAGTGATTTAGGCCTCCTGCCTAAGAATCCAATGAGTCCTGAAGGAGACCCTCCCTGGGTTGTCTTATTGTTGAACTTGAAATTTTCAATTTATTGGGTTGGAATGTAGTTATGTCAAAACTGGGGAAAGTAATGCTGGAAGTGTTAGACCACCAGGCACAATGTAGTTCTAGAAGCCTCCATACAGTTTAATGAAAAAGAAACTTAGTATTTGGAATTTGTTGATGGAATTTATTGTTTTTTGCTCCTTAATACTAGCTGAGTGGTATCTCTGTCACTCAATTTCCTTATCTGTAAAAAGGACACAAATTATTAGACCATTATTAGAAGAGATAAAGATGATAAGCGGAGGTGCTACATAAACTCAACATATTAATAATGAAGCACAGTGAAAATCTATTATTCTATTGCTGTAAATGGAAGTTTTAAATTTTCAGTCATTTAAAAGAAGCTGCTTTATTGAGATGGTATAGTTGCTACCATATAGCTTAGTGGTTCTCAACCTTCCTAATGCCATGACCCTTTAATACAGTTCCTCATGTTGTGGTGACCCCCCAACCATAAAATTATTTTTTTTTTTAATTGGGGCTCATACAATTCATCACAATACATAGATCAATTGTGTAAAGCACATCTATACATTTGTTGCCCTCATCATTCCCAAAATTCGCTAGCCTCTAATTTTCCGTTTTTCCCCCCTCCCCTTCCCTTCCTCCTCCCCTCCATAAAATTATTTTTTAAATCATCTTATTGGGGGCTCATACAGATCTTATCACAATCCATACATACATCAGATGTATAAAGCACATTTGTACATTTGTTACCCTCATCCTTCTCAAAACATTTGCTCTCCAGTTAAGCACCTGGCATCAGCTCATAAAATTATTTTTTAAATTATTTTCATTACTATTTCATAACTGTGATTTTGCTACGGTTATGAATTGGGTGACCCTATGAAAGGGTCTTTCGACCCCCCAAACGGGTCGCGACCCACAAGTTGAGAACCACTGGTCTAGCTAGCTTTGGAGGATGGGTGCCAGCTGCCAATCACATATCAATTTCATTATTATTTCACTCATCTGTAGTTTGTTTGTTGTTGGTAAGTGTCATTGAGTCACTTCTGACTCATAGGGACCCCATGTTCAGCAGAGCAAAACACTGCCGTGTCTTGTGCCATCCTCACTATGGTTCTTGTGTTTAAGCCCATTGTTGCGGCAACTGTGTCAGTCCTTGTTCCTCTTTACCAAGCATGATGTCCTTCTACAAGCACTGGTCTCTCCTGACAACCTATCCAAAGGATGTGAGGTGAAATCTTGCCATCCCTGCCTCTGGGAGCATTCTGGTTGTACTTCTTCCAAGACAGGTGTGTTTATTAGGACTGAATTTAGTTCCTTAGATAGCCAGGCCTGCGCCCTGGTGGCATAGTGGGTTACTTGTCCTGCTAACCAGAAGATCAGCAGTCGCAAGCCACTGTCTGCTCTGAGGGAAAAGATAAGACTTTCTACTCTGGTGTAGAGTTACAGTCTCAAAAACCTGCAGGAGCAGTTCTGCTGTCCCCCCTAGGGTTGCTATGAGTTAGAGTCAACTTGTTGGCAATAAAGCTTTTTTGGGGGGTTGGGTGAATATTGCCAGGCAAGGGACACTGGTAGTGCAGTGGTTAAAGCAACTGCTAACCAAACGGTGGTTCGAACTCACTAACTGCTATTGGAGGAAATTATAACTGACTGCTTCCATTAAGATTGACTGCGTTGGAAACCCAGTGGGGCAGCTGTACTACTCTGTCCAGTTAGGGCTGTGAGTTGGAATCAACTCCAGGGCAATGGGCTTTTTATTCTGTAAGAATAACTTACTTAATCTTCAGAACAATCGTATATGAAGAATCTCTACAATCTGTTATTTTTGGAGATTAATTATATTGGTACTTTGTTTTATGTTACATCTTTGTACTTTTTCCATTTTCACATATATACATATATATATATATGCACATACACGCAAGGGGGCTTCAAAAATGTGTGGAAAAATTGATTTGAAAGGTATTGGAATTTTTCCTGTGAACTTTTTGTAGCTCCCTAAAATAGCAGGGCAGTGCCAAAGAGGAAGCATCCTCTGTGAGATGGATGGACGCTGAGTCCAAATATGACAGCAGTTGTGGGTGTGGCTTAGGATGACCAGTCAGTGTTTCATTCTGTTGTCCATAGGGTCGCTTGCTATGAGTTGAGATTGATTCAACTGCACCCGTATGTGTATATCATTTTACCAGAAATCAACTGATAAGAGTTTATTCTAGTTGACTATATTATGATATTTCCATATATTATATGCACATCTTAATGTTTGATTTTTTTCCCTCCATGTGAAAGAAGAGGTGTCTTTGGCTACATAGGAGGTTATCATTGATTGAAACATTTTAAAATTAAGATTATTTAAAAATTATTTCCTAACAGAATGGCCAGCAGTCCAGGAAGTGATGTTGCTTTCTTCAATCAGAAATCGATGCTTTCAGAGAGTTCTCGAACAAAGAAATTTCCGTTAACTGAAGAGGAGATATTTTACATGAATTGTAGAGCTGCTTACCTAACTGTTTTCAAGAGTAGCTTAGAGAATATTGTTTCTAAAGATCAACTTTATTTAGGTAAGTTTTAAAATTTCTGTATTTTTTCCTTATTTTTTGAAAGTTAATACATCAGGAAGACTTGGATTAGAATTGCTGCATCATTCCATTTTCTTAGTGAAGCTTGAACAATGCAGCTACATTAAACTATTATTCCATTTTAGATAATTACATATTCTAGAAGACTCAAGATAAAACCTTCAATGTGAAAACAGACCAGATCAGTATTTTTAAAGCACCTACCAATTATTTGCTTATGTTTTTCTATTTCTGCTTGGGTAGTTTTAAGTTTATAATAATAAAATTAAAACATATTGATACGAAGTCACTAGTCTTAATTTGACCTAGACTCAGGAAAATGTAAATGATTCATAAAAAAATGGGTTGTTCATGAGGAGCTAATAATAATGAGCAAAAAGAAAAGGACTCACTTCTAAAATTAATAGTAGTGATAGTTGTACAACTCTTTTTAATATGTTTACACTATTGGGCTACATGATAAGTGAATTAAAGGTCACTAAAACTTAAAAAATAGATTGCTCAGGAAAGAATTGGGAGATAAGTGAAAATTTGTGTGGTCCCTATTACTTCTCTCCTTTATCACTTCTCTCAACATTCCTTTGTTTGCAAAGTTCGTAAAACCGCTCTCTTTGGTACTTGGCAAGTGTATTAACTTTGGTCTTTAATCCAAAATCAAACACTTGACTTTAAGTAATTCTAATTCACAGCAACCCTAAAGATATAATCGAACTGCCACATAGAGTTTCCAAGGCTCTAACTCTTTAGAGAAGCATACTGCCACATCTTTTACCCTTCGAGACTAGTGGGTTCAAATTGCTGACTTTTGGGTTTGCAGTTTGAGCACTTTAACCAATGTTCCATCAGGACTCCTTTCACTCATTAGCTTGAAACACGGCCATAGCAACCTCTTTCTCATAGCAGCCCCATTAGAGTGGAACTCTTTTGGGTTTCTGAGACTGTAGATCTTTATGGGAGCAGACAACTTAATCTTTCTCCCCTAGAGTAGCTGGTGGGAAGGTTAGCAGGGTAACACTTAACCCTATATTATCAGCACAATACCAGATAATAGTGACTAGTCCGTTTCATTAAGTCTAATCACTTTATAGTAGAGAAACATATTTTGCCAACTTTAAAATTAGTTTATTTAACTTGGGCATGTTTTTGTAACAATGCCTTGGGTTTGTACTCAACAAGATCTTTATGGGAAGTGAAAATATTAAACTATTTGATGCCTAAGTAAAAGGTATTAAGTGTTGGGCTGCTAACCACTAGCTACTCAGATGGAGAACTATGATGCTGTTTGCTTCCATAAAGATTTACAATCTCAGAAGCCCTATATGGGGTCACTGTGAGTGAGAATCAACTCGATGGCAGTGGTTTTTTAATAGTTTAAGTGCTAATGCACGTGATTAAAGGGATTTTAAATTGTTTGTTTTTACTTTGATTTATATAATTTGATTTATAATTTTATAATTAATAAAATTTAATTTTATGTATTTGTGTTTCATATGCATTAAATGGAACAAATTTATTCAATTAATTTTACTTCTAAGTAATTTGCCATTTCTTAAATGAGTTTAAAGTTTTAAAATTTCACATTCTTTCATCTACCATTTAGTTTGTAATTATACACACACACATACACACAGATACAAAGTATGTCTGAGGGGCCTTCAAAAGTTCTTACAAAAGTTGAATTAAAACATAATAGACTTAGGTGCTGTCTTGTGGTGGTTTTTATAGGATAATTATGAATGTCTGTTGGTCTCGTGTTTTATACTTGTCTGAACATTGTAATGATCTCAAGCCACCTGAAGGAGAGTTTCCTAAAGTGGGCAGTATAGTCCCCTGGGAGGGGCTGAACAGTCTGGGGGCTGTGAATGCAGGTTCCAAAAGTGTTTAATTGCCAGGACGTGTTGAGTAATTTTTTTTTTCCTGAAAAAGCGATTGTAGGCCAAGTAAGTTCAGGAGCCTATGATGTAGATTTTCAAAAAGGAGTCATGTGAACCAGTGACATCTCTTTCTTACTAGTCGGTCTTTCGTCTATGTCCTTCAGCCACTTATGCACATATCACATGCCTACATTTGTATTTCTGACTTTTCTATTTCAAGGTTGAAAGTTCAACACCATTATCAGAACGTGAGAATTACTTCCTGCCTACCCCCACCCCCAATTTATAAATAATACAGGTGTCATAGGCTCATGCCAAAGTCTACAGTAAACCCTGGCAAAAGATCAGTATTTTGGTGTCAAATTTCAAACATCTATAGTTACGTTTTTACTGTCTTCAAAGTCTGTCGTAATTGACTTCAGCTATTTTAAACCTAGAGATTAAAGTCAAGTTCGTAGTTACTACAATGTACCAATTTCTTATATACTGTATAGGAATGTCTACTTAGACTACATGTGTTGGCGAAATTAATTTTATTTTAAGAAAGTGACTCTTCTGTAATTAACAGCATATTTTAAAAAATTATTTCCTTTGATATCAAAGATAGCCATAACACTGTCAGTTGTAGGATTTTTGTGACCTTTGAGTAACAACTTTATTTAGGTCCTATTTGTATTGCTATCCTTCAAAGGCTAAGGGTTGTCCGAGTATGGAATGTTAAACCACGTCTTCCTTTTCCTTGATTCTCTTACTAGAGTAATAAGGGATAGCAAATACTTATCTTGTGCTCGTAGGAAAGCTTGATAATCAGAACATTGGTTTACATCCAAGATAATCTTGTGGTGGGGGAGAAATTGTTATACCGATTTCATTGCTAGAAATTTCCGCAAAGGCTCTCCAGGCGAATAAACAAGTTCACTGCCATCAAGTTGATTCTGACTAGTAGCGACCATACAGGCAGAGTAACACTGCCCCTGTGGATTTCCGAGACTGTTAACTTTTATAGGAGTAGAAAGCCTTGTCTTTTTCCCAAGGAGCAGCTGGTGGTTTCAAACTGCTGACCTGTGGTTAGCAGCCTAATTCATAACCAGCCGCTATACTACCAGGGCTCCTTTCTAGGTGGATAGAAGATTATACTTTCTATAGTTACTACTTCTGTTAGCTCTGAAAGCCACCTCTGGATGATCTTTTGTTCTTGTTTCTGTAAGAGAGTGTAAGTTTTCTAGGAATCTAGCATAATTTGGAGGATAACAAAATGTGTTTTAATCTGCAGACTCTAATACATATGTCATGAGAGAGAGCTTTTACACTTCACTTGTGGACTTATTATTTAGATGATAAAACTTTTTAGGATCCAGGAAGTTTGTGCCTCTTAAAAAATTCCCCCTGTATTATTAGCATGTACACAATGAAGGTAAAAATCTCTGACTGGTTATATCTGTATTTATTACTCTGATCTAGTTTTTTATTTCCTTGTGAATATTTCTATAGTTAAATGGGCTTATATTTGTTAGCCTTTTTCATGTTGACTTGATATAGAGAGCTAGGGAAATCCAACCTCAAATAATTGGCAATATTAAATAAAATATAAGATTTTACAGTGGAAATTGGTAGCACAGTTTGGGATGCCCTCAAAACAAACAAGCAGCCAAAAAACCCATGCCCACTGCCATTGAGTTGATTTATATTCAATATAGGATTTCTGAGATTACAGATCTTTACAGCTGGTGGATTTGAACCACCAGCCTTGCAATTAATATCCCACCATCTAACCAACAGCACCACCAAGGTTCAAGATCAGAGCAGTTTTAATCCTCAAGATTCTGTTAACTCTGGTTTTTAGAAAACATATCATTGGTTCATTTATAATTCAGCCTTGTTTCTCTTTATACATATTATCATTAATATGCAGAGATTTGTTTATTTGTGAATTAACAAATTACTGTTATCCAACTATGTAAAATATTTAAAGTTGTTTAAAACCATTGTTTTTAGTGTGACATGACGTATGCAAATATACATAGCCTTTTCCACATCGTAACTCTTAACCTTTCATAGACAAAAGTATATGGTTTTCAAAGTAAGCTGTAGGATTATTTTTAAGAGTTTTGGCTAAAATGAGGATAATTTGCTCTCTCCACCTCTATAATAGTCTTTTCTCAAAGTATATCGACAGGCCAAGTTTTTAGCTGGGCCTAATTGCAAGTTGCAAATGGATACTTTTTTGTGCATATATTCTTATGTTTGGAACATCATTAATTTTATTGTCTACTACAAAGCAGGGATGAACATTTCAGATATCATGCCCATATTGACACGAATATCCTCACACTAATGATTTCTTCATGGGAACCTTCATTAATAAAGCTACTGAGACAGAAAAAGTAACAATCCAGGCTTTTATTCACAAAATAATTATGTGATTTGTCCGGAACAAAAAAGAACGAAGGAAACCAAAGATTCAGAGATGAAACTGTTCCACAAGACTAATAAACAGTTTACCCACCCTGAGATCAGAAGAACTAGATGGTGCCGGGTTAGCACTACTAACCATTTAAATCAAGACTACATCGTTGGATCCTGATAGAATGGGGAAAAATGTGGAACAGACTCACATTCTTAAATAGTACAGATTTGATGGACTGGTTGAGACTATAGGAATCCCTGACACTACAGCCCTGAGGTAGTCTAAATTCTAAACCAAATTATCCCTTGAGATCACATTTTTGCTAAATACCAGATTAGCTTGTGAAAAAAGCACTCATGAGTAATGATCTTATTTTTATTAAAGAAAAACACTTTATTGTGATTTAAGTGAGTTTATAGAACAGTTAATCAGTTTTATATTCAACAATTAGTACACATTTTCAATTCACACACTTTAACTCCCTCGGTATATCAACGCTTATATCACTTCCTCTTATTTCCCATATTTATTCCTCCTCCTTTTCTAACTTTGTCCTTGAGTAAATCCTGCCCCTTTTATATGAAATGGTTGATTATTCTAGCATGGGGGGGGCGGGGCGTGAGTTTAGTTCCAGAGCTGAAGGGGCACTAAGGGCCATAGTCTTGGGGGTTCTTGCCAGTCTCTGTTCATTCAATAAACCTGATCCTCAGGGTTTTGAGTTCAGTTCCACATTTTCCACCTGCACTCTCCCAGCTACCACTACCAAGTATTCTGAAAAGGATCCGTTAGACGGTCCTGGGTAGAGTAACAAACTTCTTTTAAAAAATAAAAATCAACTCTAGAAGACCAAGTGGTCAGAAATTACTCTAAAGCAAAGATTAGAAGTTACAGCAGGGAAACTAGAGCAGAACACATGGTACAACCAGAATGGAATAAATTAGATTGATGGCACACTGTGAAAACTATATCCAATCACTGAATAATTTGTGTAGAAATTATCAAATGAAAACATGACTTGTTGTGTAAATAAAAATAGGTTAATGTTATTTTTTTCTATTCTTTTCCCTCCAGAATTCTTAAGAGGTAAAACAGATATCAATTATTAAGCCATGTAGGCTGAGAACAAAGGTATCAGACTATAAAGAAATTAATTATCTTAATTTTTACTAAGATTAAGTCAGGAATATTTAGACACATATATTTTTCTTTTTGAAAGTTAGAAATATACCAGTATCACCAAAGGTAATGTATGATATGTGTGCTAAGGTTTAATATATAATAATTAAAGAAAAAAATGGACTTAAATAGCAATCCAAGTGTCACTATAACAAATAATACTTGTTCATTGGGCAGCTCTTCAATATGCAGGAAGAAATCCATCCCAAAAGATTATCAATAAATATTGGACTCCTCAAACTACTAAACTGAATTTTGATGATTTTTGTATAATTTTAAGGAAGGAAAAATCTACTTCAAAAACAGAACTTCTAAAATCATTTAAGAAGTTAGATGTAAATGATGATGGCTCTATTTTACACACTGACCTTTATAAAATTCTAACAAAGGTAAGATCTGGAAACAGTTTTATTTTATACATATTTTATAAAATAACTTGGAATCTAACTTTGGCTACTTATAAAGTCCACATTAAAAATAACTATATTAACATGAATAACTGAGTACAAGGAAGAATAAAATGTTCTAGAATTGAATAGTGGTGATAATTATACAACCCTTCTTGATATGATTGAATTATTGAATTGTATAATGTGGATGAAGTGCTAATAAAACTGTTAAAAAGTAAAAATAATTTTTTTAAAATGTGTTAAGGAATATGATTTTATTGGTAGATGAAACTGAATCACCTATATGTTGATTATGAAGTACTTCTGGATAGAAGGTGCTTGCTACGGGGAAAAGTATAAAATGGCCATTTCCCTGTGTTCCTATGCGTTCTTTCCTGCCCACGACTCTTTGTACTGTATATCAGTGGTGGGTTCCTATGTGGTAAATGAGATTAGAAATCCATTCTGTTTCTTGGTGCAATGTTAGTAAGTATCATAGCATTTATATGTATGTATGCATGTTTATAAATAAACATCTTGAAATTTAGTGAATTGAATTTCAGTGTACTTGCAGAAAACTTTAAAAGGTTTTGCATTTTTATTTTATAGAGCAGTCTCATTCTTGCTTGGTATAATATTCCCTGAGATTTATAATTGGTAAATTTGTAGAAAATTGCAAAATTTTAGAAAAGATGAAAATGTATTTTTGCTAGCCCCATGAATAACAAAATGGCAGTCAATTATTGTGCTTTAAAACTAATCTTGTTTTTTTCAGAGAGGTGAAAAGATGACTCAGGAAGAAGTAAATGCCGTAATAAGTTTGGCTACTGTAAATGCTGATGGCAAGTTTAATTACATAAAGGTACATAACTCCACTGTAAATTTGCATACTGTGTATGGAAAGTCATTTTAAAGGAAAATGCCTTTTTAATATTGAAAATGGCATTCTTATATATTGTACTTGATTGTACTTAAACTAATCTCTCTACACCCACAAGTATAATCTGACATAACTACACTAAAACTAGTATAACATAGTTAAAGCATACATATACCCATTCAGAAAATTCTTAGAAATGTACTTTTTCTGGGGTGGAAAAAATCATAAATATTTAGAACAAGACCTCAAGTCTACACACGTCTTGTAAAAAGTGTAATAAATCACTTCTCCTTTTGTAACATTTTATTTTGACTCAGAGGTGACCTCCTCATTGAATCATGGCTGCATTTCACTAGGTCATTTGAGGGTGGTCAATCTGATTCAAGAAAATAAAATGAGTAACCCAGTCAGTAGGAAATATATTCCATCTATCAGTCTATCCCTGCCTACTAATGTGCATTTGTCTTCTCCTCCTCCCAAATGTATGATTGAATGTTGTACCCACTGGACTACTTTTTTATATTTCTTATAGTTTTGTAAATTATATATGACAACCAATGAGCAGTGCCTCAAGAGGACATTAGAAAAGCTGGAGGTTGACAGTAAACTAAGGCGTCAACAGTTTGGAAGCCACAGTGAAAGCTCCCCTGTAAGGGAGCCATCGCCAGCACCAAAACCATCGCCTAGAACCCTAAGAAAGATGCGTCAGGAACCATTCTCAAATAAAGGTATTTACACTTAGCACTAGGAATTCTTGACCAGGAGTGGAGGGGCATACCCTGGTAGGTTTTCATCTTTTTAATAGTAAATGAGAATTCTTTTGTTTGCTACAGTTTTTTAGACTCTTTTAGCTATAAAGATCTATGAAGTAAAATTTTATTGAGGCATTTAACTTGGCTGTGCTCATTATATTTTATTTAAAACCAAAGTTTCAGGCTGAACCGTGACACACTGAAGTAAGGAATCTTATTATTAGTAGCCCATAATTAGGAAGTATTAAAAAATGATAAATATAGAATTTCATTTCAATAGGGAAAATGAGAAGAACAAAATTAATATATATACCCTTCATACGATACTGTGTTTAGAGTCAGAATTCTTATTGACTGCTTTCATAATATGAGACCAAATAACTGTTGCTTTTTACAGGTGATGCTATGAGTTCTTTACTATCAACAACTAGAAAGTTCAAAACATCTATTTCCTTCACAATTACCATGGGTAATAGTAACCGAAATGCAAAGTTAACCGAGCCAAACTCACTAAAGGTATGGCACTTTAAATTAAGGCAATAGATATGACTTTTTCTAGAAAAAAATTGACATTGATTATTAATACCTATTTAGTGTGTACCAAAAACAGTAGTAAAGTTTGTGAAGTAAGTTTTTGATATTTTTCTGTTGGTTTGTAGCATTTGTACTTAAAAGCCAGTAGTAATACCTGAAAGTAAAAACTAATAATAATATTCCAAGGTTTTCAGTTTGAGAATAAATTTGGGGCATGATAGCTAAATTATATAATTATATTCATTGGCCAGCAAATTTGTTTTGTTTAACAAATACTTGCTATAGGTGTTTCTTAAAAATAAATCATTCATTTAACATCAATTCCTATGAGAGAAAGACAACAAAGTCACTTTGCTAAGGCAATATTTGTAGAGTGTTAATATTGATCTTCTTTCTTTGTTTTCCCTTTCTAGACTCAACCTTTACTAGTTTTCTTTCAACAGAAAATAATAGCTACAGAAATATAAAACATTAACTGGAGACTGCTAGGATACATTAAAAATGTGCACCTAGAGACCTCTGTAAAAGGGGGAAAAATGGTTATGACCACATACTATAACTGCTGTTAGGAAACTGAACTGATTGCCCTCAAGAGCTACATTTTTGTTTCAAATAACAACTCTGTATTTGTTATTGAACTCTGAAGTCCCTTATATCTTTAAATTGCTAGACAGTGACATTTGTTCTATATTAAAATTTTAAAGCATTATCTCCAAGGAATTTTGTTCAGACTGTTTAGGAATCTATATGCCCTAAGCAATTTGGTGTGCATTTCCAACATGTTCATACACAATATTTAGTGTCCCAACAATATTCTCCACCAGTGGAACCTTTTTGTATTTTGCAACTAAATTAAATGCTAATACAATGGACTTATTAATTCCATTCAGTAATTGTGTTTATATGATTCAAAAGAGTAAATAAGCATAATAAATATGCCAGACAGTTAAAGAGAGGTAAATATTAGTGTGGGTTATATTAAGGCTTTTCCTCTGTGTTGTACGCTAGTAAATTAGACCCATACCCATATAATACCTTTAATCTATTTCAAGTCAGGAAATATTTAATCAGATAATATATGTCAGCTGTTTTGCTTAGTGCAAAATGTAGAGCTTGAATTAAAAAATAAAACTCTCCATTTGATTTTACTAAGGTTGCATACCATAGTATTTTATTTCTTTATTCATTTATTAACAAATATTTAAATGACTCCTTGTGCTACACACTATTCTAGGTACTGATGAAGTACTTTATATTTAGTGTGTTTTTGAAAGATTTAAATCATACAACATATTTAAAGCACTTATCATGGTACCAAATACATATCATTTGCTTTAATAAATTACAGTGTGGTTAATATGATTATCAGACTAAGAGACAACTAAAAAGTTTTAATGGGAATGAAACAATGAACAAATAGTTTAAGCAACTATTGTAAGTAGATACAATTATACTACTATATTGTGTATTGTCTATTTTATCATGAAAGCCTCGACTTAGATAATGTATCTGAGAGACAGGTGCAGTTATACAAATCCAAAGTGATAAGAGTTCGGCCTTAGTGAGGAAGGACAAATCTAATAGACAGTGCCAAAATTAGTCTGGAAGGGATGTATCAGAATAGATAAATTAGGTTTTGCATTGACGGCACCAAAGAAAGCACACAGGGTTAATGATAATTGGAAATTAGATAAAGGGTATGAAGAAATGAAATGATTAAAAGCAGATGACATTCTGCCAGTTTTTAAAATTTCTATAACTTTGATGAAAGTTCACATATTTTAGAAATATTTTATAGCCCTGCATCTCTTACCTAACTTTTTACGTATTATTACTGACTTTGATATTGGCCACTGTTGCTTATCATCTCGTATTTCATAGATGAACTACAATGAATTTTTCAAAACCTGTAACTTTTTTGTTATTGACCAGGATTTAGTTCTTTGTTTACGTTTTAGTTTGAAGTCAAATTGTTGTAAATTTAATAAAATGTACCATTTTTAACAACCCTCAGAATTACTTATTTATGAATATTGTTATTGTATAATTTATTTGAGATTAACAATAAATTACTAAAAGGATTTCCAAGTTAATGTACCTCAAATACTTTAAGTTAATTTTAAATATGCTTGGGTACCTCAATTTTGTGTGGAATAGAGAAGTACGGAATTGGGGCAAAGAAGAAGAGGCTTTTCAGAAAATAGAAAATTATTTTAAGGGGAAAAGATAAGTCAGATTTTAAACTGCCAGTCAACACACTGGATAAAGGAACTGAATTACAGGGGCTATACAAATATTATCTTCTAAAGGATTTATAGAAAATAGGCATTACATATTTTTAATATCTTTAATTCTATGCCTTTGCTTATATTCTTTTTTTTTTTTTGCTTATATTCTATATTGTGCAGGGCAAGTCAGAAATTTTCTTGTAAAAGAACAGCTTCAACTTTCTTGCTAAATCCAGACATGGCTAGAATTAGAGGAACCTCCAAAACCATGAGTGTAAGCTTTAGAGATGTAATACTGCTTTCATCCAGATTTCTACTTAGAATAGACCTACGTGCCTGGTTTACACGTATATGTTATATAATATCTGTGTTGTATCTAGACATCTCTAAACATATACACATTTCAAACACCGAAGAGTAGTAAGTTTCCATTAATTTTTGGGAAGGCTTCAAATAAAAATTTTGTTCCAAAAGTTTCTCACATTTTCAAAATATTGATCAATTCATCTGTCAATTAAATTGCATTATATATATATATTTTTGTATTTCTTTTCTTTTTTTTTTTTTAAACATTTTATTAGGGGCTCATACAACTGTTATCCCAATCCATACACACATCAATTGTGTAAAGCGCATTTGTACATCATTTCTCAAAACATTTTCTCTCCATTTAAACCCCCGACATTAGGTCCTCATTTTTCCCCTCCCTCCCCACTCCCCCCTCCCGCATGAGCCCTTGATAGTTTATAAATGGGTATTTTGTCATATCTTGCCCTGTCCGACTTCTCCCTTCATCCACTTTTCGTTGTCTGTCCCTCAGGGAGGAGGTCACACACAGTTCCATGTAATCGGTTCCCTCTTCCCTACCCATTCTCCCTTTACCCTCCCTGTTTTGCCACTCACACCACTGGTCCTATAGGGCTCATCCATCCTGGATTCCCTGTATTTTCAGTTCCTATCTGTACCAGTGTACCTCCTCTGGTCTAGCCAGTCTAAATTGCATTATATTTTTATAGGTACTCTATTTAACCTTTTGTTTTTAAGTATGTATGGTTTATAATTCTATAATAAAAAGAGTCAATAATTGTGTCATTACTTCCTTACCTAAGCAGCATGCAGAAAAACAAGTAGTTTTATATAATTGTGGGATGTAAGATATCTTTATTTTAAAAGTGACAATAGTGATGATGATTATTATGTATAGGCTTCTCCTTTGACTAAGTATGGCATTTACATTCTAGTAATTTTGCCTCATTTTAAATTTTATTAGTAATACAGACCTCATATGTCAAACCAAATCACATTCATTGTAGCATACTAAGAGGTATAGCACAGATGTATAGTAAAGATGTAACTTTACTAATATATTTAGTAATAAATATTTACCTTATTATCTTATTATAATTGTGCTTTTCAGCATTTCCTTGTGTACTATGAGTGAATGTAAATTTTACATGTGAAAAATAAATGAATTAACAGTTCAGTTTGGGCTTAAAAGTATTGTCCTGAATTAGAATATAGCACCACCTTATGTACTATACAAGCATTACAGTTTTACTATTTAGTGTCTGCTTTATATTGTCAACAATTATATCATACAAGGACTTAGTCTGTCATTCTAAGAATTGAATTTTAAAAACTACCTTATTTCATTTTGCTCATAAAACACTATTGACTTAATCTTTTCAAATCAATTTATTTGAAGGAGCCTACTAAGTTGTCAGTACTTTTTTCCTTTATTTCATAATATTATAGTCTATATCCTAGAGAAATTGAAAGTCTATTTGTTTTAAAAGGAATTCTAGGTTAAATAAGCATTTTCTATTTGATAGCTTTGGCAAATAAGCTATAAATTCTAGTATTTAGTATTGAAAGTTTCGTTGATATAAATAATGTGTTTTTTTCTATTTTTAAAATTATTTTATAATTTTTTGTTGTTTTTAAATGTCATGGCATCGGCTTTATTTTTTTTCCCCAAACCATTTTATTAGGAGCTAATCCAGATATCATACCATTCCATAGTTCAATCATACCAAGCAGTATTGTACGATTACTGTCAAAATTTCTATTTTTAAATAGTCGTTGTTCTATTGGTTGTTTTTAAATAGTTGTTCTACTTCCAAGCCTTATTGACCCATATGTAATATTATAGATTGCAGGTTAGCTATGTTTCAAAAGAAACTTATAGTTCCTTCAACATTAATGTCTAGAATGGAACCTTAGGAAAAATGTAGAATAAAAATGTTGTTTAATTCCCCAACTAAATTTAATAAAGAAGTCTCCTGTCTGTTCATGGCACAGCCCTTAAAAATAGTCTTCTTACATGCAGATTCTTTTTTAAAAATGATTCCTCTAAAGGCTGTGACAGATATTTAAGTGTAAAAAAAGAGCCAAACTTAGAACACTTATCCTTGAATATACTGGAAAATAAGGAGATCCAGGTTCTAGATCTAGTTCTGTAATCAATAAAAAATGCATATGAGCAAATCACTTGTTAATTTTTTAAGTTTCCTCGTTAGCTGCTCACCATAAGGTCAGCAGTTGGAAACCACCAGCCGCACCTCAGGGAGACAAAGGAGGCTCTGTACTCCCGTGAACAGTAGCAGTTCCAGGAGCCCCCAGGGCCCTTCTCTCCGGTCCTGTAGGGTTGGTGCGTGTCAATGGCAGTGAGTGAATTTTCGTCAGTCACCAGTGACGTGTTTTTAGATTTCTTTTCTATCCTTGATATTTTGAAATTCTAAGCTATCCTTCTTT